GACGTGACCGCTCTGCCGTCGGGACGCGCGCGCGCCCCGAGGACGGGGTGCTGGAGAGCAGCTGCTCAGAGGAGAAGAGATCCGTTTAACCCCGTTTAACCCCAGGTTAAACGTTTAACCCCATTTAACCCCAGGTAAGGAGACACTTCCTGCAGCTCTCTGAAGCAAGCTAAAAATACATACCTTGAGTAAGGAACGTCACAGCCTGCCTATACAAAAGGATCTAGCAAAGGACAAGTTTTTTCCTCTGGAAAAGGCGTCTAGTAGTTTTATGCAATAAAAAGTAAAGAAGTCAACAGCCACCAATACAGAGTTATAAAGCTGGAGGCCTCGTAACCAAATACCAGGCATGAAAATCAAGAACAGTGATTTAGATTCTCTGATGTTGAACAAATTCAGCAACCCTACCCTGGACATAAAAGGTCACTTACACAGGAGCCTGCTACAATTTACTACCATCCACTCTATGTGCTTGCAAAAGGTAATGGCCATTTTTCAGAGAAAGTATGACTTCAAGAACATTGGACACAGACACAGTCTGTACATACACCATTAAATTCTTCATACAAATCAAGTACCTGCACCTAAAAGTAGGCGGAGGTGCACGCATCCACCTGCGGCCGCGTCCCAGCAGGGCAGGCGCCGCAGTGAGACCCTCGCCCCAGAAAAGCTACCAAAAAAAAAAAGGATGCACAGTGACAGAACTGAAAATCAAGTTTTATTTACAGTTTGCAATGAAAGTTGAAGGCTTTCCAAGACGGGAACATTCTGAATTAAATAACCCCCCAACTTTTTAGTTAAAATTATGAAGATACTTTAAACTAGATGCAACTGAGAGTTCAAAGAGTTAAGTCAGTTTTAAAGTACGTCTGCAAGGTCTCGGCTATGAGAGTGTAAATTGTTGGCAAAACAATTCAGTGCTGTTCAAGTAGAATTATATAAGCAGATTTATGTGTATATAATCAGATAATAGTGCCAAGTATAAGGCGCTCTCAGGCTGTTTGTATATACAATATGAATTTTTTTTTTCCCTGCAAAGAGAAGTATCATAGAGAAGACCCATTGGTAGTAGTACTTGTATATAGTTTAAAGTCACCAAAAAAAGCACCAGAAAACTTCACATGTATGGTAATTGAATATTTTTAAATCTGTAAGGTGTAAAACTGGCTTCAAATGATTATTTAAATGTAACAGTTAATCTAATATACCTCTTAAAAAAACCTACAAAAACAAAATAACTTTTACCATACATCAGTGAAGGAGTTCTTACAGCCTGAGCAGCAAATAACTTACGCATCAGTGACTTACATGCTTTTTATTTGCTTATTTTCTCTGATTCCATTAAAAAAAAAAAAAAGCATATTTGCCATGGCAACCTCTTCAGCACATGTCTGGACTCCAATTCAAACATAAAGGGCTTCTTTTCCAAAGACCCTCTAAGGTCACTGATGCACTAAAATCCTTTAGCGACAGAACGTACACAATCCAGTATGATTTCTTTCTACAAAAGTAGTATACTGCAATTTTTGCTTTGGTAGGAGTTTTTTCCTTCCTCCCACCCCTCTTTTTTCCGCAAAGACATAGCAATAAGGATACCTATAAAGGCTCTTGCCTGATTAAAACACAGGTCAAAAAAGGGTGGGGGGGCTTATATATATGTATGTACATGTGTATGTATGTGATACATATGTATACATATACACACACTCTACATATATGCACATATTTCAAGAGTTTAGACAGGTATTAATTAGTGCTGAGGGGAAAAAAAAGAACAGAATTCAGAGTAGCACCTTAACAACCTTAATTTACGATGGGAAAATTTGGTAGAATCTAGATATTTGATCCAGATCTCAGATTTTCTTTTTCTTTATAGAGTTAAAAATCACTGAAATTCATGTTTGCCAGAGCAGGATGTTGTCAGCAAGTCATCCACAGCTGGGGAAGCCGAGCCTAGCTCGATGCACAGCTCCTAGTTCTGCAAAAAGCCTTTCCAAGAAACGAAGTTGTGATGAATCATGGTAATAGTCTGTCAATGCACCGTAGCCCAGCAAGATAAGAGAGAGAACACTTAACTCTGCAACTGCGAGCTCTCTCTGCAGTGCATATTTAATTGCTATAGAAATAGGAGAGTTTTAGACTACAGACAGCTAGAGGGACAACAGCAAAAGGAATTTCCACCTAACACATAATTAAGTCATGGAACTCACGGTCACAAGCGTAAACAGGCCCAATAAAGGGCTGACCAAGTTTGAAGATGACAGGCCTATCCGTGGCGCTGATGCGAGACCTGGCTCTGCCAATGCATAAACAGCAGCGCAGGCTCGAGAGGATACGCTGGGAGAGGAGCCTGCTATGTTTGTGCTTCTTTCGTACTCTGTGCGTTGGCTTGTCATTGCTCTGGACAAGACACTGGCGTGGATGAGTCCGGGGCCTTATCTGTTACAGGAATGGTTATGTTCCAATATGTGATAAATTGGCCAAATTTACCAAAATTGCAATTAAAGAAATGAAAGAACTGCAGCCTCCGAGAACAGCAGCGGGGTCACGGGAAAGGCCCACGTGAAGTCTTGCAGCGCAAGCGAAGAGGGTTCGCTCAAAGCCCTAGCTGCCGTCTCAGTCCAGGAGCACCTCGCGTCCTCGGACAGCGAGAGCCGCGTGCAGGATCAGACGTCAGACGGGTGCGACCGGCCGCAGAGCCGCGTCCGAGCTGTGACGCGCTGGAGGGTTTCCTGCTCTCGGCCC